TTTTTTCACTGACATTTGTTTAAATCATGCTTCTGTAATCCACCATTGATGTGTAAACATACCTGTGTAATAGTAATATCTCATCATCTGTCGCCATCCTGGACTGAGAGAAAAATATGAGTTATCATAAAGTGGATTGTGAATGAATAATCAATATTACATTTGAGACCCGCCGTGACGCCATTCAACTAATGACGTTAATGTTCTTTTTTTAAGAATGGTGTGTTGATATGCTTGAATTTAAAAAAAAAAATTGAAATTATTGATATGCTAATTATTGTATATTATAGTGAGAATTCACCTTTCTACAATAAAACTTTTCTCATACAATGTTATCGCTTGTCCAACTATAGTTGCTGGTCTATTTCTGCTCTAAATACATTTCACAGAGTTTGTGACTTGACAAAGAGTAAAAAAGAAGACCTGCTTATTTTCACAGTAAATTAGATGTTCAAAGTATTGAAAGAATATTTTCTGTCTGAATATTTATTAGTGGTCAGTAACAGACAATGTATAGCAGTTGCTGTCATGCTATCAGTGTTTGCCGCTAATGTCAAAAGGTTGGTGGCTCACACAGCCTACAAGTTGAACAATTGTTGATAGCCTGAGAGCAAAAAATGCATGGTGAGGTCATGTGTAGTTTTGATGACCCACAGAGAAATTTGTTGTTTTGTTTTAGCTTTTATCATTTTTATGTTAATCATAAAACTCAAGAAGCAGGCTTGCAGGGTCAGCATGCTCTTAAGACTTGTCAGCCCTACTGTGAAGTCCTATGCCTCTGACCTAGGGTCTGCCTTAGTTTTGAACACTGCATGCTATTGGTTAGAATGTTTGATTGACATATGTGGAACACTTACTAAGGAAAAGTGAAATATGACACATTCATATGCTAATTAAGTTACCAATATTATGTAAATCAACAACCCTATTGGGACATACAACAATGAGAAATTCTAATCACAGTTAAAAGTACATATAAAAACTAGAAGAAAAAAACCCAAATCTAGGTACCGGTACTCACTTGCACTTCAATACATCTATCTAGAAGTCCCCAGTCTTCATGTTTTTTGTACATGGCTGTATTCTGTTAGGACACTCTGGGTGAGATCTGAAAAAGTAATAGACAGTTGTAATGAAGCGATAAAAGTGCAGGAGTTGAAACTGGTGGTCATGCGGTTGTCCCTGACCACCACATTTGTCATAGCTGCTGACTGCCCACTTGTACAACAAGGAAAATAAATACAGAAATCAACAACTATTAACACAGTCCAATGTAGAATTATATTTGCTGAAAAAACTAACAACATGTTTTTTAACAGTAACATTGTTTGAAAATCCAGATCTTAGACTTGGGCACTCATTGTGTCTCTTTACTCACACCTCTGGTCACTACCAGTATTTGCTTTTACTCTATATGCTAGCCCTTTATTATGCATATTCTTGTACTAAAGAATGGTCTTATGTAATCCATTCCTAGGCCCTTACACTGAATACTTACTTGTACCACTGGTCATAATGTGCTCCCATTCTTTCATCATATGTGATAGCAGTTCTAAAAACAAAGAAAGCAACATTTGGCTAAAATAGAAAGAATCCACATTCTAGCCACCAGAGGGCTCCCTACACCTTGGTTACCAATTCCCTCGTATGTACAGTACCACAATTGCATCCTATTACTGGAATACAATGTTTGTGATGAGCTGGCATGGTGGAGGAGATGGTTACATTTTATGGTACATAGATAATTCAGTCAAATTTACTACATAAAAATACAATGTATGTTCCAGTCACATAGTTACAACTGAAAAACTATCGAAACAATCAGCAACTGGATAACTGTAAATTTTTACACTATCTACCATCCCATTTAACATTCCCGGCATCACAGGCCATTTTTATCAAGTTTTGATTATGGGAATTACAGTAGTATTGATCTCTAAAACTACATGATAACTATATTATATACCTGTGTGGTGGGCAGTTGAGCCTCATAACAGTAAATTTACTGAGAACATCGGATACAATATCATCTTCAGGTTGTTGCTGTTCTTGTAAAGTATCGCTACTTATTTCAACTCCCACAGTTTGCCCATCACTGTCTTCATCTAGTTCTAAAAAAAAATGAAAAACATTCTAACAATGTGACTGCTGTTTCAATGATTTTGTTAAGTAAAAATTAAAGGTATGCACATAATCGTGTTTCGGACAATACGAATGCCAATGTTGTCTCTCTTGACTTGTTTTATATTTGCAAATGTAAACATACAATTTACGCATATGCAAATATCAAGTGCAAGTGGCTTTGGCCTCTCCATTGAGTCTGTTGGTTGAATGCTTTATAGTGGTCAACTTCATTTAAGATTCCAACACTAAATAAATCAATCATGGGTAATGTACACTACGCTATCAGTTTCACTGAAAACTAGAAGATTGTATTTAGGTACAAGAGGTTTAATAGTTTTCCAACTTTATATCAAGACAAGTAATGATGGTTATCTCAAGTGCATGATTGTTCTCTAAAACATTTGATGCACAAGAAATGACATGATTCAATTTCAGCCAAAACAACAGCTAGACAACAGTACAGTGGCAATAGAATTTAAAGGGCAGTGGTCAAGGCGTTATGCCTGCGCTAGCTGTGGGTCTTATATAAACAAAGATGGTAACTTTGACAGTTGCGCAGACCAACAAGTACAGACTGAGTACAGGTAGGTACCAAGTTTTAATTCGGTAATTTCTTCGGTGGTTGGTAATTAGTGCATGACCACTGCTCTTTAATAAAACATTAAACTATTCACTGTTATGAATGTATAAATGGTTTTATTATTGAAGATAATTTGCAATGACTAATGTTATGAATGTCAAACATGTCTCCCAGCTAAGACCCTAAGTGAGAAATTCACAAATATTCACAATCTTTATACACTGCTTACCTTGATACTGAAAACATCTCCAGTAATTACTGTGAACTGATAAGACATCCAGAATACTCTGTATTGCACTGCAATAGAAATATGTGTTATAAAGCAATCTTAATTATCAACATTTCAAAATGCAAAGCCTCTAAAGAAAGTATTATTTCTTTGTATTGCAGAGATTTTAACAAAACAATTAAGTACATAAAACAGTAGATTGTAGTTCTTGGTCATAGCCGTTAATGTTAATAATATCTCATCAATTTGAGTGGTGTGTCATGATATATAAGAAGTGGTTGTATTTTCTAGAATGACAATTAATACCACAAAACTATGATTTCAATTGAAATGCACTTTCAACACAAAAGAAACAATAATATTTTGATTATACACACCCTCATTTAGATGTGCTTTTAATAAAACAAAAAATGGCAAAAAGCAAAAGACCTATCTTACCTATCACATGGTTTGGTTGTTTGTAAAGCAGGACAGGGTTCTCCTAATAAGGTACGTGTTACCATGGAGACACCCTCACTAACAGTGGTCAAAATTGTAACCACCC